ACAGATTATTTCGAGATCACAAATTTTTAAATTAGTTGGTCACAAATTATTTTTGAATCACGTATTATTAAATTTTTAGGTCACAGACTACCGCCGCTTGATCACAGGTCATAGATCGACCAAATGCTTAGTCACAAATTACCAAACATTTGGTCACAGACTATTGTCGCTTGGTCACAGGTCGCAACAGCCACAAACCACCACACCCACAGCCATAAACCACCACACCCACAACCACAAAACACCACATCTACAGCCACAGAACACACGCAACAATCTCTTCGAGAATATTCACCACATTGAGCCTATTCCTTACATCTGCGGAATCTCCTTCAGTTGATTCTTGGACAAATTGAGTCCAGTTGGACCAACATCACGACCAACCAAACCTGCCACCAACATCACGCCAGCCAAACCCACCACCGCATCCATACCCACGAACATCACTCCATACCCGAACCCTTAAACCACAGTAGCGTCAACCAGAACCCTCGAACTGCAGCAGCGTCGCGGCTGTTGCTGCATGAACGACAGCGTCGCGACGCTGCTCAGTTCGTGGCAACATCGCTAGTAATGTTGCGACGACGCTGCTGTCCGACGGAGAGGGGAGAGGCAGATATGGTGGGGGAAGGAAAGAGAAGGGGGGCGGAGGATGAAATGTGAGGGTGAGAATGATAAATTAGGGTTAGGGTTTTTATATTACCTGATTTTTGAATAATAAAACTCTATTCCTGAATTTTGAGTTTCAATCTTTAAACACCTGAATTATTATAATTTCCGAAAGATTTATATCGTCGCTTACATGTAATATTATTATAATAAAGAATGTAAAAGAAGAGGGAGAAAAAGATATTTTTGGAAAAAACGAAAATCAAATATTCCCAAAAATGTTCGAGCTACATTCTTGAGAAATTTTTTTTCTCAAATTCAATTTCAACCACATATTCTTTCAATAAAATAATTTTATACGTAAACTAAAAAATCAAATATTCCCAAAAATGTTCGAGCTACATTCTTGAGAATTTTTTTTCTTAAATTCAATTTCAACCACATATTCTTTCAATAAAATAATTTTATACGTAAACTAAAAAATTTCCCTAATTTTTAAGCACATATTCTCTAAAAAAAAATAAAATCATTATTATAAAATCTAATCTTCCGAAATATAGGGCGCAAAGAGACCTTAAGTAAATAGCTAGAATGAGGTGGATAAGTGGTACTATTCGTATGTCTCATCAAATGTGTAAATAAAAAATAATTTGATAGTAGGTGTGATAACGCTCGGTCGGGCCCATGTAAGCATGAGCAGATTGCAAGTGCTCCTTTTGGCCCATAAACTCGTGAGTCTATGCCACGTAATTTTTTAAAAAAAAATTCTCCTCATTTTTTCAAGTTTGAGATCAACTACTTTTAATGTGTCACAAACAAGTTATTACGATTACCATATTTTTTAAGAAAATGAATAAAATTAAAGAAAAATAACATACATAATGACAAATTATGATAAACTCGGATAATTTAATTGATCATCTAGTATTTGACATATTTATCTTGGAATCGAAACTCCGCATCTTCATAATCATTTAAACACGTTAAACTCTCTAGTATGTCTTATTTGAGTCTTGATCTATAATTGTCACATACACTAAAAGCAAACTTTGATGCTACGGTAGTAATTGGGGGTGTTAATAGAATAGATTATGTGTTATAAGGAAAATAATTAGATATTAAACGCTTGTTCGTTCTCAAAAAATATAATAAATATGATTTTTTTGCAGTTATGGGCTCTAAATACTAAGCATGAGTAAAATATTTAGATAATTGTAACGGTATTCCACCTGCACCTATATTCAATGTACTTTATTAAGGGAAAAGGAAGATTCCTACTAGATATTTCGACATTTATCTCATACATTTCACATAAACTACTTTCAAAATTTAGAGCCCGTTTGGTAGATATTAAAATCAGATTAAAATTGAAAAATTAGCTGTTATTGTTGACTTTTATTAGACGAGTGGGGCCTAATAACGACTATATTTTTAATTTTAATTGAATTTTAATCGGTACCAAACGGGCTCTAATATATTTGAGATTTGGGTTACAACAATTTTTTGTATCTAAGATTCATTATATAAGATAAAGGAAACAATATAGATAAATTATCCCAATATTTTCTAAACTTAAGTTCTATTACTACTATGATAACACAAATAATAGGTGATGTCTTGTGCTTTTTGAAATTTGATGCAATATGATAAAAGTGAGCAAGAACTTTGGGAGTAGTGAGATAGCGAACGCCCGATGGTGCTTTATTGTAGTAAAAAAAAATGTTAAAAAAATTCTCACTTTAAATACAATTTCCCAATCATGCTCTAGTAAATTATTTTTTGGACCGTGTATGGGTCATTTGTTATAATAAAAAGTAATAAGATTTCCATAGCCTTTATAAGATTTATAGCAAATTTTAAGTTAAGTTTCATCTATGACTATATCAATGACTAATGTTTTGAATTAAATTTCATGTTATTTACAATATTCATCGAAAGCTTATTTTCTATGTAACTTTTTTTTTTTTAATTAATATCCCTCACAGGTTAGACGTAAAAGATACAACGTCGCCATGTTTATTGAAATAATTTATTAGCAAATTCTTTTTTATGATAAATAGCATCAGAATGAAGAGTATATTTAGTAATTGTACGTAATTGGGGTGGAGATATTGTTGTATGACTTGGTGAAGTGTATGTTGACCACTATGCTAAGCGGATGCTCACTACTAGCTACAAACGTGACTATACCTTTGCGTATTGCCTCGTTTTAGTAGACTCAGTAAGTGAACAAGAACATGTACCGGAAGAACCAAATTGAAGTTGAGATTGAGTAGGATCTAAAGCTCCATATTTGACCAAATGGATTTTGAAGTGCCTATTTAGGTGGGTCATTTCAATATTCTTTTGTCAAGATAATCTTTCTTTATAGTCATTGCATATTGCTTTGTAATATGTCTTTCCATTTATTGGACCCGTGATCACCAATTTGAAGTGTTCCCAACACTTAACAGTGTATTTCTTCTTCCTCTATGCCATACAAATCAATTGGATCGGTGCTCACCTCTTCATTACCCAAATTAACGTGAATTAGAATGTCATTAAGACCACTAAAATCGTGATTGAATGGTGGGGATGAAGTGGGAGCGAGAGCACTTTGTGATGTGTTGGAGGCACCAAATACTTTTTTTTTTTTCAAACTCATTAGCCTCCAAAAAATTAATGTGATCTATTTGAAATTTGAATAAAATATGAAACGGGAATAAGAATGTATAGTGCAGAAGATTGTAGTATGTAGATTGAATTACACAATAAACAAATTGTTAGAATGTAGATTGAATTACAAGAATTAATTTTATAAAAATTGAATTACTATTATTGAATGAGAAATATGTAATGTATAGAAAGTTGTGATGTGGGAAAAAATGAAGTTGGTATGAAGTATTTATAAAGAAAATAGGTCCAGAAAAAAAAAATAGAAATTTGATCATTGGTCAACTATCAGATTTTTCTTTGAAATGTGACCAATTGTAATGAAAAACGAGCCTGACTTATGGCCCGTGCCCACTCGGCTCACTATTTTTAGGGCTGAGTCCAATTCCGGACTTGTCCCTATAGGAGCTCGAGTGGTCCATGAGCCGAGCGGTTCAAGGTCACGAGTCGTTTGATCCATTTTTCACCCTATCTTGTATATAAATAATAGTTGAAACACATAATTTAATAAGATCTTTTTTTTTTCCTTAAAATGAAAGTCTACAAAAATTAAATGAATAGTATAGACGTTTTTAAATGAAAATCTATACAAATTTATGAAAAACTCTTATTAGTATGGAGAAATTTTTAGTACTCAATAAAAGTTCCCGAATTTTATGTAAGTCCATAACCTAAAAATCTGTAAAAGTCTAAATTGAATGCATCTGCCTAAGTGAATAGATAAAAATGAGTAATACATAAGTAGGTAATATTTATAGGTTCCACGAAATATATCGATAAAAAGTGATTTGACTGTTTATAAATAAATTATAAATGTAGCCAAACACGAATGGTTTGAATTTCAAAACTAGTTAAAGGTAACTTGATGAATTCCATCTACGGGCTAATATCAATTGAAATGACTCTACACCGCTTTAAAACTCAACTATCGATTAGATCAAAGCTTTTGTCCTTTTTAGTGAATCACAACTTATACATCAAAGCATACGAATGATGTTACTTGTACATAAGTAGTTACATAAAGATGATGTGTCAAAATGAGAGTGAATGATGTTTTTTTTTTATTTGATTGAAGAAATTTTGATCAATCATATAATTCACAACATCACGTGTATGTAAACCATTATTTAAATTATTATATTTATGTATCACAATTGAATAGCACGATGAGGGGACATATCGGAACCAGAATCGGCACCGTCCTAAGAGTAGGCCGATTTGGTCATATCTTTGAATTTTTTAAAAATGAAGAAAATTGAAAATGGCTGTTTTTGATTTAATTCCCCAAACCTCATTCGATCTTTACAAGTTTAACATTTACTTTTAACCCTATTTGTCAATCATTATTTCAATTTTTTTTCTCAAACTCCTTTTCGATTACATATTCTCATAATAAGATATTTTGCACATAAATTTAATTTTTTTCTACTTTTTAACTTTACATCTTCCAAAATTTCACTATTTTAAAATTCATTTTTCTATTTTAATGTAGACAAACAGGGGCTTTACTTTTCCAAATGGTTCGTGGGACCGGCGGTTACGGTTAGTCCTTTAACCGGATCGGCCCGTCAGAAAAGGAGAGTCAGCACGCGGACCCGTCTCCTAACATGTAATGGGAAGCACGTTTTTAACCCACTTTCCCGCGAAAATCTCTCATCCCAAATGTCGTAGTCACCCAACCTGCCCCCCTCTCCCATTCCAAAATATGATTATCTTTGTCAAATGAAATTGAATTCACAATGTCGAGTTCCAAACGAAATCCAGCCACCTCCGATCACAAGGAATTTTTACGAAAACTTCCTCCAATTTCCATTCGTCGCAGAGGGAATGTTGACGGAGAGGAGGAGAATCTTGATTTAGGTAAGAATGAATCAGAGAGGGGGAAATCGTTAATTGTTGAGCCCTCAATGCTTAGCTTGAATCAACTCAGGACGCAGTCGGTTCCTCTGCCTCTTGATTTTGTGAATATGGGGACTAGTAATAATCAAGGGAAAGACGGGGGCAATTCGCGAGCTAAATTGTCTTCCACTTCTCAACAATCTGCTGTCACTTCTATTGAACAAGGTGGATACTTCGCAATTTGATTTCTACTGTATTGATGGATATTTTTATGTAAGCGTGCATGTATATACATGGCGGACAGTGGACTCGGTTATTAGTATGAATGTTTGATTTAGAATGCACAATTGAAATCCTACAATAAAGCTGTCCTACTGTAGTGTTTTTTGCTTGAAGTGAATGTACAATGAAGTATAACTTTAACAGATTCAGTGATCTTATATAGTTTGTCACTTTATGGTTTGAGAACCTCTATACAATTTTATTATATACTACATGGGAAAACCAGAAACAGATGTCAAATTTGAATCATTGAGGGTAGAAGCATCATTTAACTATTAGGGCCAACTGTTTCATGGAAAAAAGTTATAAAAACGAGGTCTGAGAATTTGAGTTTCCTTTTACTTTCCTTTTGGATTATTTGGAAAATATTCCTTAAATATTAGTAGTCTAAGCTCAAATTTCAGTCAAAATATGCATCTGAATGGAATGTTACTGTTTTTTAGGTAAAAAGGTCCAGTGGAGTCAATCAAAATCTTTGAGAATCCCTTCACCCCAACGTTCGGGGTCAGTGGTAATCACACTCCAACTCTTCATGGCTGTTCCATTATATTAGAAGTTTTAGAGGTCTCTTCTATAATATTAAGTTAGATGAATGAATTAGGTAGCGGAGCTTCATGTCACTGTGCTTATTGTAGGGTTATCACGCAGCTTTTATCAAGGAAACGCAATCTCCACGTTTCCAGGCTATTCTTCGTTTAACAAGTGGTTGTAAAAACAGAGCACCAGATATTAAGAGCTTCTCTCACGAACTCAATTCAAAAGGTGTCCGACCACTTCCATTTTGGAAATCTCGTGCTGTTGGTCACACGGAGGTATGTAAAATACACCTTGTACCTTCGTGTTTCTGCTCATGAACGCAAATATTTTGCTTTGTCACACAGATTTTCGTATATTTCTTAATATCTCATTCTCAATTGTGCATTTAACTTCCAATATCAACTCTTGCCAGGAGATTATGTTAATGATTCGGTCGAAATTTGATAAATTAAAGGAAGAAGTGAATTCTGACTTGGGCATCTTTGCTGGAGATTTGGTGAGTATTCTTGAGAAGGCTTCAGGATCTAATCATGAATGTAAAGAAGGTTTGGAGGATTTGTTAGTTATAGCTAGGCAGTGTGCAAAGATGTCACCCAACGAATTTTGGTTAAATTGTGAAGACATTGTACAGAATCTAGATGACCGTCGTCAAGAACTATCGATGGGAACTCTCAAGCAAGGGCATACACGCCTCTTATTTATCCTCAGCCGCTGCACTCGGCTTGTTCAGTTCCAAAAGGAGAGTGGTCATGAAGAAGATCTCATTCTGCCTTCACACCAACTTAGTGACCTTGGCGTGTACCCTCAAGGTATTCTTGGGGTGTCACAAGTTTGGAAAGAAAGTGATGAGAGACAAACTTACAAAGTCCAGGAACTGGACCAAAGCAATACGAACGTCAAACAAGACGATTTAATTGATGAGGTTAGCACTGCAAAGAGTGTTGCTTCATCCACAGGAAGTTATAAGATGTCATCTTGGAAAAAACTTCCATCTCCAGCTGAGAAAAACCAGAAATTCCACGACCCTACTGATGCCCCTTCTAAGGATAAATCTGATAAATTGCAACAAAAAGAAGAAATAGATAGTGCAGAAAATATTGATACTCCAGTCTATCAGCCAGAACATTCAGAAGATTCTTTGAAGGTAGGTCAAGTAACATGGGGAGTTTGGGATCAACACCAAATGACACACGGGGATTCATTGATATGCCGTATATGTGAAGTTGAAATACCAATAGTTCATGTTGAACATCACTCCAGAATTTGTACAATTGCAGATAGATGTGATTTAAAAGGTCTATCTATAAACGAACGGATTGAAAGAGTTGCAGAGACCCTTGAAAGAATACTTGAATCATGGACACCAAAAAGCACAAGCACCGGGTTGGAAAGTTCTGAAGTGGCGACAGAGTGTGTAACCAGTTCACCAGAAGAGTTGGATGCGTTGTCACCAAATAATAACAGCTTGTCTTTCCAATGCTCTCAAGACATAATGGATAGTGTTTGTGAGGCTGATAATTCTTTTCCCGTGGATGATCTCCACAGTTGTCCTTACGTTTCATGTGAAAATTGTGCCTCTATACCTGATCAGTTTAAGAAGCCCTCATCACCATTGACACCTCGATCGCCTTTAGTAACCCCACGGACGAGCCAAATAGAGCTTCTGCTGAGTGGACGGAAAACCATATCTGAATTTGAAAGTTATAAGCAGGTATTGATTTTTTGTACTATATAAAATTTCACCTAGAAAAATTGTCTATAGAACTCTTGGTTACTGAAGGTTCTCTACCATATTCATCTCATTATCACCTTTTCCCATCCTGAGAATTTTTTTATATTATCTTAAAGTGTTTCATCATTTAATTGGCTTTCTTCAAGTGAATTCTAGTAGATTGTTCTAGTCTGTGTTGCTGAACTTATCGTAGTTCCTCCTTTTTCTTCTTAGTGATTTATATCTTGCATTACTTGGTTTTACATATTTCATTCTACCTGGACATTTTAACGCCGTAAATTCGGCTTTCCTAAAAGCTTACGATAATAGATTAGAGAACAAGAAATGCCAATTAAAGAGCTTTATCTTGTTACCTATAAATCACTTTAACTTTTAAAGACAAGGCCATTGTTTTTCTTTGTGATCCTTGTGTAAAGAAATTTAAAGCTCTTCATCCTTACTTGAGCTTTGCAACACCGACAGAAGTGCGAGTTGTTTCTGACTTTTTTGTAATAGAACACGAACTGCTGATTTTCTGCTTCTGTCGTGCATTTAAGCATGCGGTTCACAGGTTTCATTCAGTTTTGATTCATTTCACTACTGTTTTTCTAGAAAATTTTTTCTGAATATTTCTTATGTAAAATTGGTTAACTGATGCTTTTGCGTTATAAGATACAGGTAAAAAACATCTCTTTATTGCTCATTTGGCTGTAATTTATAATTTGAAAAACAATGCTAGTAATTTAACTTACTAACTATTCATGAAATGATAAGACAGATACATAAGCTGTTGGATATTGCTCGATCTGTATCCATTGTCAACAATAATAACTACAGTACCTTGGAGTACATGCTTGAGCTTTTAGAAGACCTCAAATATGCCATTCAGGATAGGAAGGTGGATGCTCTTGTCGTTGAGACATTTGGGAGACGCATAGAGAAACTATTGCAGTAAGCTCAATTTTCACAAGTCAAATGTTATCCATTGTTTAACATATTCTGAATAACATATGGAAATTTTGCTGGTCTAGGGTCATATAGTCAGTTGATCCACTGAAGATTGGTTAGGGCTTTGTTTGTCTTGAGGCTTGTTAAGAGAAATTATTAAAGAAACACATTTTTAAGCTCATGTGAATATTAGCTTTCTGAGGCGACTTATATACTAAAAACACTTTCTGAATATTCTATAATGAATCAAGCTATTCAAAAGCACTGGGGTTTCAACACGGGGTGGTCTAATCCAAAGCACACAAATTTGTAATAGTCCATGCGAATAAATGATAATAGTGAATCAATATAAGAGTCAACTATACCTGAGCCATTATGAATAGCAACCTCATGTTGACGTGGTGAAAAGATGCCAGATTGTCATCATATTCTGAACACAAGTGAAGAAGATAAAATAGAGAAAGTTGACTAGATAGAGGATGACAAAGCAGAGGGTGAATTGTGGGGATGATACTTCGTTTAATGGAAGCAACATATAACGCAACTCATATTATTACTCTGCAGGATGCATATACACAGTCAGTAAATTATTTAGCTTTGAATCAGTTTACTAAAAGTTTTAGCTTTTAGAGAGAGAATAAACATATTTATTTGCATTATGTTCTCAACATGCCTCGTCAAGTGCATGCTAGTTTCATTTTGTCACAAGCACAATTTTCATCAGTAGCTAGCAAAAATATATTGTCCTTTTTTTCATATTATTTTATTCTTGACTTCCATTTGTCTCTCATAAACTCGACAGGGAGAAATATGTACTTCTATGCAGGCAGATAGATGATGAAAAGACAGAATCATCAAATATCACAGCTGATGATGATGGTTCAATGGAAGATGACATAGTTCGTAGTTTGCGTGCAAGCCCCATTTTTCCTTGTACCAAGGATCGAACATCTATTGAAGATTTTGAAATAATTAAACCCATAAGCAGAGGTGCTTTTGGACGAGTTTTCCTGGCCAGGAAAAGGGCAACTGGTGACTTATTTGCAATAAAGGTCTGACTCTATGCCATTCAGCCATTGTCCAAAGGTGTATAATAATGAATTTCAAATAGTTTCAGCTAGATCTTTTTATTTTTTCCTTTGTTTAAACCTAAAATATGCTACTTTCAAATGAATGAAAGTTTGTAACTTAAAGTACGGCACTTAAATGACATCACCGCGAGTTCATGAAAATATTTTCTATTAGTAACACTTCAGTGTTATTTGCTCATTGAGAACAGCCAGGCTTTAATGATTGTAACTTAAATGACCTATGAAGTAGTTTTCCATAAATAGTCAGTATTGGAAATTTTACAGGTTTTGAAGAAGGCTGATATGATTTGCAAAAATGCAGTAGAAAGTATCTTAGCTGAACGTGATATTTTAATATCAGTCCGCAATCCTTTTGTGGTGAGCAGATTTTGTACTTTTAACACTTGGTGGAGATTGCACCTACTTTAGTAGCAGTTGAACGTAAGACTTTGTTTACTAATTTATTGTATGATTGTGAACAGGTCAGGTTTTTCTATTCTTTCACGTGTAGGGAAAATCTTTATTTAGTTATGGAGTACTTAAATGGAGGAGATCTTTTCTCATTGCTGAGGAACTTAGGCTGCTTGGAGGAAGATATGGCACGCATATATATTGCAGAAGTTGTAAGGACTGTTAATATTCTTGCATTAAATACAGATGCTCACTGCTACTTTCAGTTCTTCTCCTCAACGATGGATATACATTTATCTGTTCTTTCAGGTTCTTGCTTTAGAGTACCTGCACTCATTAAATGTCATTCATAGGGACTTGAAGCCAGACAACTTGCTGATAGGTCCAGATGGTCACATCAAGGTCAATATATGAAAGTGTTACATATATTCCCTCCTCATGTTATCCGAGACACTTCCCATTTTTATACGACTTCGAAAACGTTACTCTTTGAAAAATAAAAAAATGATTTATATTTTGATTCCTATGTTGCTCATGTAAATTTAGCAATTGAAATTTGAGAGAAGAATGTGTCTTGATGTTCAAACTCACATCAAAACATGTGGAAAAAGGTGGAGGGCACAAATGAAGTTTTAAATTGTAAGCATGAAGGTAATATTTCATAAACTTGGTGCCAAAAGGTGATTGACAATTAACATGAAACAGAGGGACTACTACATAATTGTGACATTTTTATTAACATTTTGTGAGATATCTACTCTTTTACATCTTTTCTCTTTCACAACTTATCTTCCGTTTAAGTCTCATTGCCGCATTGAGTATAGGTGTCCTCAAAGTATCGATTCTCCACAAAATTGACATCCACAACTTTTTTGTATGTTGGGGGAAGGGGTGATAGCATTTATACCCTTTTTGTGTTGAGGAGTTTTCCCCCTCAAATTTGATGGACATATATGTACGGGACAATCAAAACACTATAGAACATTTAGTAACCTACACTTGCTGTCACCTATTTAATGAGATTGGATGCCCTCTTCCTGACTTTCAGTCACCTGAAGACAAGCTTCAAACACTGGTATTTACTTGACTTGAACCCTCAAGATGGCTTGCTGCTATCACAAGTTTATCAGATCTAGCTGTCGAATTATGGACCTTGTGAAGTCTAGATCTTTTTGAGTTTTTGCTTTTCGATTCTCTAATTGTCCTACTACTATGGCAAACTACCAATGTATTTTTCAGTTTTTACAAATCTAATCCATATTGTTACAGTTGACAGATTTTGGGCTCTCCAAAGTTGGTCTTATTAACAGTACAGATGACTTATCTGGTCCACCTGCTTTTTTTGGGGATGATAAACCAAAAGCTTCTGCAGCGCATTCATCGGTCAAAAGAGAACAGCGGCAAAAGCATGCTGTTGTTGGAACCCCCGACTATTTGGCACCAGAGATACTCCTGGGCACGGGACATGGTCTGAATTGATGATAAATTTTATATTTCAATATGAGTAATCAGGTGACGTTTAATGCTTTTTCTGTTAATAATTTTGCGGTTGTCTTTATCTCTCTGTGATTTTCTTCTTTTAGGCGCAACAGCTGATTGGTGGTCTGTGGGTGTCATTCTTTTTGAGCTCCTAGTAGGAATTCCACCTTTTAATGCTGAACATCCACATGTAAGCCATCTTTATGCAATAACCTGTGGGTTAAGGGATACGGAATTTTACTTGCGAGTATTTGCCTTTCCTACGTCTCTTTAGCTCTCAAGGTTTTGCATCTATTACTATGCAATCTAGTTAGCCAATGGGATGCTAATTTTTCTTTTTCATTTTGGCACATTTTCTGAGCTGCTGATAGCAGCGCAATATGATTGTTTTACTTTGTTGCATATATTTTGACTTTTGAGGGTAATTGATGATTATTGATGAGGCCATTAACATATTAGGAACTAGGTCCAGAGTTCGTGATTGCAAAGGCCAAAAATTTTGTGTAAATCTGCAAAACTAGCACGGGGCATCTAGGAGTTCTTTTCAGTACTTGAATGGCTATAATTCAACAGCTTTGAGTTAGCCCTCACATTTGTCATTTTCTTCATCCCGTTAAAACAGTCCAATCCAGCTACTTTTGTATTTGACTTTAGGGAACTTAAGAAGCCATTCTTTACTCGTCCTGTACTGCCATTATATGGTTCGACATATAACACTATAAGGGTGCAGTAAGAGGGTTTCAGTCTTAACTCTTATGGTAGTCGATCCAATCTGCAGATTACAGGTTTAACAATTTAAAACCTCAGAAGAGAAATTGGTTTTTAGTAAGATAACCAGAAGTCATCCATTAAAATATTTTTTTTACAGATTAAGGTGCTTTTAAGGGTTTTCCTCTACTTAATTTTCCTAGAAGGAGAGATAATTATCCCAAATAGTTTATTATTTAAATACTTCAAATTTACTTTGGGATTTATTATTTGCAAGTCTATTCTCATTGTAATTGCAATATGAGAAATTTTTTGCTTCTCTTAATGTTGATAATTTTTATAAAGATGAAATAGTTATTGCTTTAATTTTTCTGTCTGTATACTTTGATGCGGACTTACAGATCACATGCCTTTTGATGCAGCAAATTTTTGATAATATCATGAATAGAGACATTCCCTGGCCCAAGGTACCTGAGGAAATTAGCCATGAAGCTTATGATTTGATGGACAAGTAAGTTTAGGAAAAGGAATTCGTACATCTTTTCATTTGGTACCATCAACTTAGATGGTGTAGTTTGAATTATGGATGGTGTATACATACGCACATGTGAGAGTCGACTCCTCTGCAGGGTGTGAGGGTGAAACTGACCATCCTTATCTCTAGTGGTGAAATCTAAAAGCACCCATTCTGAAACATTTCTACTTGTCGTTTACAATCTTTTGGCATTGGTAGTGCTGCTAAGATACTAAATTTCATGCTTTTATCTGTGTAGAAGCATAATTACAGCAGGTGTTTATTCAGAACAGTAATTGATCTTGCAAACTTGAGCGAGCTTGAATGAATATTTTTGCTGTCTTTCAGGTTGCTGATTGAAAATCCAGTTCAAAGATTGGGTGCAACTGGGGCTGGAGAGGTAACAATTATGCCACACTTGATTAAAACAAGGTTCCAAGATTGTGATTAGAAATCAGGATGCTAAATGTTATCCCGTTCACTCTCAGGTGAAACAACATCATTTTTTTAAGGATATTAACTGGGACACTCTTGCAAGGCAGAAGGTCTCATCTACTTCTTCCCCATACTCACCTCCCACACACAGAAACAGACAACTTGGTTGATGAATTCAGAACATTTTCTAAAGTTCTCCAATTTCCCGCAGGCTGCATTCATACCTTCAGTTGATGCACAAGACACTAGTTATTTTATGAGCCGGTACATATGGAATCCAGAAGAGGTAAATGTTCATGGAGGTAGTGATTTTGATGACATGACCGAGACAGGCAGTGCCTCCTGCAGCAGCTCGTACAGCAATATGCTGGACGAAGAAGTAAGCACGTGTTATTGCATTTTATTCTACTAAACATTTCAGTGATGAGTCAGAATCAGAATTTTAATTTTATTAGCATTGATGTATTTAGGATTTGAATCAACAATCTCTCTTGCTGAATGTATGGGATGACTATGTTTGACGTGCAGTAGGCTTTTGAGCTTGATGATATCATTTTGGTCTTCCAATTTCGATGTCAATGGTCGAGTCACTCATTNGATTTCTGGTTGCTTTAAGAACTGATTCATTTTGAAGTATAATTATGGAAGATCTGATAATCGTGATCAGTTTTAAATGGCCTAAAATGTGAACGAAATGTGGCCTATCTCTATTGCTTTCGTATTTTTAGTGTTATTACTGATCAAGTTCCATTGTTTGCAATGAAAACAGGGGGATGAATGTGGAAATTTGGCCGAATTTGGCCCTCCTGCCCATAATACGGCGTACTCATTCAGTAATTTCTCATTTAAGGTAAGAATCTCCAGTATAAACACTTGAAAATCATTCAATTTCGTCACACCATCCCTTCCAAATTAATAATGGAAGTGCAATAATATGCAGAATATGGTTTTTTGTTCAAAAAACCGCCCCTTATCCAAATTATAGCATTGTTTTACTTTGTTCGCTGAATATTTTTTATTTCCAAATTTATAAGTGAAATTTCATTTATATTTGTGGTTGTCTATCCCCGTGTTTTGAATTATATGAAATAATGAAATGCTACGGAAAGTATGAATTAGCAGAGAAAAGCCATTGATGCATTGTTTTTGAAATAATGATATAATTAGTGAAAACTACACGTAGTCATCGTATGTGGCATATATATATATATGTCGCTTTATTATTTGATGCATTAATGTCCGATTTTTTTATTGCATCATGCATCAAACAACAAAACAACACATGTATACCAAGTAAGGCGATTATCGGTAGTATTCACTATGAATAGCATTACTCTTGTTTTTATTGTCCAACAATACATGTTTTTGCCCATTTTGTTGGCAAAAACAACGCACTGATTTTAGCGGCGCCAACTTTTTGGTATATTCAGCAAAAGGGGTAGATAAACTGAAACAAGAATGAAAGTTCACCGATTAATCTGAGGTCAGAAAAGATTTGGTGACCAATGGTTTTATTAAATGAGGAGAAGCAATACTCATTTACTTTCTTTTGTCATCAGAACTTGTCTCAGCTGGCTTCTATCAATTATGACTTGGTTATAAAGAGTGCTAAAGAATTAGCAGAGTCTACAAAACCATCCGTTCCATGACAACAATGCTTCCAACCTCCACTCTCCTGTCATAATTTCAGATGTGCCGATGTGCTCCGCTGAAACGATAGTGACCAGGTTCCTAGGTCCAAAGACGAAGAGTCGACCATAAAAGATGGTGATAGAAATGATCCTCTAAGCACATCAGAAGAAAAATGACAGATGCATACAATATGTAAACCCAGTTTGTCATGCACATTTTCTTCCCTTTATCTTTTGTCCAAAACGAAAACAGCAATAAGAAACAGTTTATTTAACTTATAATATCCTTAAATTTATTGCAAACAAGTCTGGTTTTGCATAGAAGGTGTCGATTGTCTCGTTTGTCTAAATAACATATGGTGGTTATTTCTACAGGAAATTGACAACAGAGGACTGCAAACCTTTGGTAGGTTCTAAACCAAGGGTTATACTATACGAACATAATTCATTATACATAATGATGTCTACACCCTCACAGGGGGGTCCACTTCGGATATATTATATTTTATTCGAAGTGAGCCCCCTCCATTGAGGGTGTAGACAACATTATGTAAAATGAATTATGTACAAGTAGCATAATTTCTAAACCAATATGCTTTGTATCAATCAATTTCAATTATCTTTCCTCGACTACGAAAAATTATATTAGTGTGTGTTTGATTTATTTTATTTTTCATGAAAAATATCCCCTTTCCACCAAATTTTTTAATTTTGGGATGGTATTCGATAAACATTTTTTTCTATGAAAAATATTTTCAAAAATTGGTTACATAACAATGTTTTCCTCAAAAACAAGGAAAGCATTTTTTTTATTGGAGGGAGAGGTAGGTTTTTTTTCTAGGAAATTTACACTTTCAAAAAACTCAATTTTATGAAAAAGTATAACATTTTTTAAATTGAAAATTAAGTCTATCAAACACATTTAATAAACAATTTTCATACAAATAAGTTTTAGGCAATTAAATTGTCTAGAAATTATTTTTTCCATGCAACGTATATATTTACAATCAAACACATCCTTAATTTAGTTTAAAAGGTGACGTTGCCTTTTCAAAAAGTGAGACCCATCAAATAGGTACAAGAATAGAAAACAATGCAAGAAATTATTCAACATACCAAGACACAAATGCACTGTTTAAGGAGTATTGTTGCAAAACTTTCTGAGAAAGATTAACGATTCCTATAACAATTCTTTGAATTCAACTAAAAGGAAAATTAGGGGCTGTCTGATGGTCATTTTGGACCAATTTTAATCAAATAAGTGACCGTTAGTAGGGCCCACACCACTCATGGCTGGTCAAACATTTCGGCTGATGTGAGGTGCAACGGTAGGAAAAGCAATTATTCTGGCCAATCTTTTTGATACCAGACAGGCCCTTAATCTATAAAACGTAGCAATGGTTCAAAGGTAACATCCGCCTTTTCAAAAATTTCCAATAAAACAGGTCCTAAAAGTCAACTTAAAAGAAGTGCTACGGTAGTCAGTTCACCTCGTCTAGCGCCATTTTTGTCAATTTCCGAGAAACAGCCTTTTCAGCATTCTCACACGTGCGATCATGTTAGTCTTTATTTTATATAGAAGATATGTATACAACTACCTTTTTCTTGTGAATATTTATTTTATTATTGAAAGAATTAACTTTTAGGATCATTATTTCAATTTTTTTCTACATGCTCATTTTCAATCACACATTAAAATATGTTGCATGTAAACTCAAAAATTTTGACCACATATTCTGAAAATAATCACTATTCAAAACTCCATTTTACCAAAATAATAATTGTCAAACAATGGCTTAATTCACTTCAATAAAAACGTTTCCTTTGGAATTTACTTTTCTTCTTGTAACTAGTAAAGCTTTTAAGGTTGAGTCAAATGTTTCATTAGTCATTAAATTTATACTTTCGTCACACTTTACTTACGGATCTTTAAAATGCTTTCGAGTGATTACTGAACTTTAACACGTTACATTTCATTACTCATTCACCATGTGTACATTAGTCAATAAACTTTAAAATGCTTTTAAATGGTCACAGAAATTGAACATGTTGAACTCCTTCACTCACCACATTTCATTAGTCAACGAACTTATACATTCGTCATGTTTTACTCATTGAGTTCTAAAATGTTTTTGAGTAGTCATTGAACTTTACTCACCGAATTGTACTATTCAAAAATTGAAAATTATAAGTATAAAATACTATACACGAAAACGACACCCTTCTTTCCTTTAAATTACTTTTTGAAACTATAACAATTATATTTTGTTAGTCTTGATTAATAGTATTGATGACTCTAAATAAAAAATTCACTGTTTGTTTGAGATCTAATTTTTATTTTCTTGATTTGAATCTACGATCTCAATCGAAATAAAGAAATAATTTATCTGTTTTATTTTCTCGACGTAAAGAAAAATGATGGACTAAATTAAGATTTATGTTAATTTGAGACTAACATTTTTCTTCCTTGAACATAGTTTTTGATGAGTAGAAAAATTCTATATTTATGAACAATATCAATATTCTCGCCTTATATTGAGAGTTTCATTAATTAGTCGACATTTATTTTATTTTCTTGATTTAGGTTGAATCTCATATAAATCAACTTTACTCGAAAATGTTATGACATTTGAAAGTATTTTAAAATTCAGTGAGTAAAGCATGAATGAAGTATAAGTTTAATGTTTAATTAAACCTGGTGAGTGAGGATAGACTACAATGCATTAAAGTTCAACGACCACTTGAAATTATTTTAAATTTGAGCAACGCATGTAACATGGGGAGTGAGTAATGTAGTGTAATGTGTTGATTCAGTAACCACTCAAAAATATTTTAAAGTTTAGCGAGTAAAATGTGACAAAACAATGCCCATGTTTGGACTCTATTTTAATAAATTTTTCAATAAAATAATATTATACGTAAATTTATAATTTTTCATTTTTTATTAACCATGCATTCTTCAAAAAATTACAATTTCAAAATAATTTTTCCTCAAAATTTCATTAAAATGGAGGCCAAAGAAGGATGATATAGCCTTTGTTTGACCTCCATTATATTGAGATTTATGGAAATAATGTATTTTGAAATATTAATTTTTGGGAGAATGTGTGGTTAAAAAAAAAAAATTATGTATAATATTATTTTATCGAAAAATATGTAATTAAAAAGAATAGAGAAAATGTATCAAAATTTTTATGGGGGGCAAAACAAAAGAGTGTGATAAATTCAGTGTCCAATGAAAAATTTAACTTGCTTTTAAGATTTGCTAACATATCTCACATTGAGACCAGCTAAAAGCAATAATTTTTTTTTTAATTATTATTATTATTAATTTTTGGTTTCCCATCAAACGGACAGCATACACATGGCATTCTACGTGTCCGACGGAAAGTCTAGCCCAATTACAGCACCTTTAAACTACTTGAAATCGAACAAAGCATGATTTCTCGATCTGATCATTCTCGGTGTTGAAGTGCGTGCAAGGAGTTAGCGATGTGGTGGCGAGTGATTTCACTATCTCCCTTGGTTTCTTCATCGAAACCATTCCTTCTCAATCAGGCATGTTTCATGATCCGATTCTTCCGCCTCATTTTCATTTTTTTTCATCATTTTATTCTGTTTTTCCCTTCATTAATCGAACGCTTTGTACCAGTAGATGCGAGCAGCGTATGGACTGAAGACTTGGCAAGCTTTCAGTACCGATGTTTTTAAACCGGTATTAGTTTCATTTTTGTTATTCTATTTGATGGTTGATTTAGCTAATAGAATTCGCGGCTGCGATGAGTTTTAGGTTATTATTGTTATCGTTTGATATTTCTGGAATTGAAAAATACTGAATACTGTTGGTTCAGCCATAAGGATGAAATTTGGAAATGTAAATGTATTCTTTGTAAAAGAGTTCAAGATACTTAAAATAGCTTCTAGAGTTTCACGAACCTTTTGTTTTTTTTTTGTTTCCGCGAGCAAGTTTTTGGCATCCATACACCAGAATTTTTTTCTATTCCAGATGTTATCTAAGTTTCCATTGAGGGTCTAAAGGATATGTAAGCCATCTTAATGCTTCACGTCTTCAAGAATTGAAATACCGACCAGTAGCTAGTCAGAATTTTCGTGTGTGTTTGTTGGGGGTTGGGGGGGGGGGGGGGGGGGTTAGGTTACAGAATGCTATNTTTATCCAAAAAAGGACATCCAGGAAGTATGCCAGCAAATGATGTGTAGTGAAATGATTAGACGAAAAAACTGACTATATTTTAAATTGTCCAATAATAGAGTGCATGTAACATTGTGTAAGGCTTGATGTACTTGTAGCAATGTCCAAATATATATGTATTGTGTATATATTAAAAACAAATTGTGTTTGAATTCAGTATAAATCGAGAAAAAAATAAAAAATGTGGTGGTGGCAATGAACCCCTCGTCCCAATGTGGATTCTCTATTCTGCAATGTAAATCAATATCAAACTATTGATAATCGCATCTATTGATCCTTTTTTTTGATGAATTTATTGATTTGTTGCCAGGAATAGTTCTAGAAAAAAAGGTTGTGAAATTTATTCTGTGCCACATGTATTATCCAGTTCATCATCCTGTTTTATTTTTACTTTTTGTGTTGAATTAGCTTGCAACTCACAAATTCTTGATGTCTAACTTGGTTCATGATTAGCCTAGTATCTATTTTTCATCATGGAATGTTATTTCTTACTTGGAAAACTGAATTTTTATGTTGTATATTTCTTTGTATCGATGTAGGCAGAAGGTAGACTATCCAATCCAGGAAGAACCCCCGTCATAACATTTGTCTTGGGTAAGTAACTTTGCACTATTACGTGAATTATTTTAAGTGCATTGTTCTCTTGGTAAAATGATGACTCAGTTTGACTTTTATTATTATACACATTGCTTTCAGTAGAATCATTTTCTCAGTTGGTCATTAGTAAACATGGCTTCTCGTAAGAACTCGGAAATTATTATCTGGATCTTTTCTATTTAGTATCGCTATCTATGAGTTATATTTCTCTGATATTATAATGTATATGCATAATAAGTTACAAGTTTCTCTAAACCAGAAATTTTTGTGCTGTATATTTATTTCTATTTATCTAGTTCTTAAGTAGGTTTAACTCTTAATATGTATCGTGACACTCCTCATTCTCATCTCAATGACTGGAGCCTTGCTTCCACTGAAGTGAAACGTATAGACACATGATTGTTCCTACCTTCTTGTTTGGCAATTCTGTTAAGTTTTTGGGATGATTGTTTGTAGAATAGCTTCTTCTTGGGATAATTATTGCTGCAACAGTACTGAAATTGCAGAGAAATTATGCTAATCCAATAGTTGTGCTTTCAGGAGGTCCTGGAAGTGGAAAAGGTACTCAGTGTACAAGGATTGTTGAAACCTTTGATTTTACCCACTTAAGTGCTGGAGATTTGTTAAGGAAGGAAATTTCTTCTAATAGTGAAAATGGGTAAAGTATGCCTTCTTTTTTTTTCTGATACGGATCTCTTGTTTAGCATGCTCCTTAAATTGCTATGTCTTGCAATGATGGTATCCAATTGCAGTGCCACGATTCTCAACATGATCAAGGAAGGGAAAATTGTTCCTTCAGAAGTGACTGTAAAACTAATCCTAAAGGCAATTGAATCAAGTGAAAATGATAGATTTCTTATTGATGGTTTCCCAAGAAGTGAAGAGAACCGTATGGCATATGAACGAGTTGTGAGTTTCTTTTATTTTAATAACAATGATTGACAGGACTTCTTTTTTTAATTTCCTATCTGTCCTATAATTTGTTAATAGCAATGCACTATCCTTTTTTTTTTTTTTAATTCATTTTAACTTATCCCAGATTTAATGTATTCTCTTTAGTATAATCACATGCACGACCAAGTTAGGAAATTTCCTGCAGTTAATTTTGCAATTATGGCAGCTCCACTATTATTGGTCTTTCACACCATTGATGGTGTTAGGTATTAGGGGAGCTGCTGACTTATCCAAACCTGAAAAACACTTGCTGTGCTAATAACTCTTTGAAGGTGGAGGTCAAGTAGTAAAATGTGATAAAAGGTGGAGTACAATAATCAGTTCTAAGTGATTAGTATTAAATGTTGAACTATTATTGCAGGTTGGCACTGAACCAGGCTTTGTGCTTTTCTTTGATTGCCCTGAAGAAGAAATGGTGAAACGAGTGCTAAACCGTAATCAGGTGCTTTTTATTATTTTTTTTTTTCTCCAATCTGTCTTGCTTCTTTTCTGCACACACACAAAAAAAAAATAATAATAATAATTGGTGATATCATTCTATTTAGGGACGAGTTGATGATAATATAGATACAGTGAAGGAACGTCTAAAGGTATTTACGTCATTGAATCTTCCTGTGATCAAATACTATTCTGAGAAAGGCAAACTTTACAAGGTACTGATTTGATAGATTATAGACAAATATTTATAATTTGGATTGTGCTCCTAAACAATCACCGTGAATGATATTTTTCTATCATGGCCTTTGAATGACTTAAACTTGGCTGCCTTTCACCTGTGCTGATAAAAGAAAGCAATAAAATGTTCTTGGCTTCATTTCATTACCTATAGGAATGCTTTATTAAGTATTAAATACATCTGTTTATCACAACAATCATGTGCAGATAGATGCTACTGGAACAGAAGACGAAATATTTGAGCGAGTCCGCCCAGTTTTTGCTGCATTGAGGTATGTCTTTTAGTGCTCTTTCGTCCAGCACTTCAATTAATTGTGTGCTTTTCGTTGGTCGCATTGGGGAAATGTGTGGTGTATGGTCTTAGGAAAAAGTTTCTAGTTCAAATTTTCTAATCCAGAGGCGGTTGCTTGATTTCTATTTTGGTTGTTCATATTTTCTTTTCTCTGTACACCGTGTATGAATAAACAATGCTTCGTTTTCCCTGTTGTCTGCTTCTGACAACCATAATTTGCTATTATTCACAAGAAAGCTGAACTTAAGCATCTTTAAGTGGCTTCTTCAAGACATTTGTTGAGCCACCCCTGATCCTCCTTTCTGCTATATCCATTTTTTTTCTGCAGACTGCAGAGCCTCCCCTAATTCTTTCCAAGTCAGGGATCCGGTAGACATGCTAACTCTCACAAGCCTGCAGGTTAACGACATTTGTTTTTCACATTTTTTTTTCAGACACCCTTACAAAACGAAATGAAAAGTCTATCATCATTTCATCTCCTTGCTGGAAGCAACATGAAGTGCTATAATGAGCTTCTAATAATGTGTTTAAAAAGTGAATGTGTATCTTAAAGCTATGGAGTAGACTCATCAAATGATTCTGCAGTTTTATGATGTTTTATGGTTGAGAGGCTCTTTGTATCATTGTATGTGTAGAATAGATTCATTTCTGGGCGCCTATCTATGAATATTATGGTAGAAAAATGCATTTTGCATTTATAGTAAGAATACTTGTGTATCAGCAGTCATTCAAATCAAGCTTGCTACAAAATGTTGAAATTTACGGAATTATTATGAAGAAGTGTCAATTGGAAAAGTCTTCAATTGGTGGATGACTAGTTCAAACTCTTCAAATGCAAAATATGCATATTAAAATTCATGTTGTTTCGAATATGATGTGACTATTCAAAAAGTTACATTATGAAAAGTCACGGTCCTTTGATAAGGTGCAATTTAGATCATTAGATATGAAAAGTTGTAATCTAATGACACTCGAAAATATATAAATAATGATCTCTAATTTCAAATTTCCTACATGAAATCAATTCAAGAAAAAATATATTTATAATTCTGTCTTGTTTTCTAATATTCTGTTGTTTTTATTTTGTTGAAATTAAATTATGTTCAATTATTTTTAGAAATAAAACTTTCTTTCGAGCAATTTTAGTGCTTGTCTAATAAGAATTCTGTCATCACTTTGGTCCGTCCGACATAATTAATATTGTGATATATTAATTTTGAGAAAAACTTTGTATTGACAGGCATTCATTTGATAAAGTTAGCACTAATTTAGGGGGTAAAATCTATCTTAAGAAAAATTGCAATCGTTTATCTTATTTCATTTCATCTCCTTCTAACTTTTTACATTTTTAAAAAAAGTGGTGAAAATCGTACAAATGTTATTACATATTTTGTATGATGTCATGAATGTGCTTTGAAGTAAGCCAAGAGGCCTACAAGAGGGGCATTAACATAGGTAGTTGGCTCTGATTTAGTAGCATCAATTCTATCATCATAAAATTGATCTTCAATATCTGGCCCTCCAACCACAGCTCCAACTAGCAAATTAGGGTTAGGATTTTTACTGAGGAAATATGGTGTTCCAGCTTTGCACTCAATATGCTGTGGATGTTGATCCATTGAAGGTAATGAAGATCCTCTATGGTGTATTCTTTGTGGAAATTTGTTTCCATATCCCACCATGTATGACATGTTCAATGGATTGCTTCCTAGTATATAATTTACCTGCATTCATTCAAATACAAATCATGTAACAAAATATTGCATATTTTATATTCAATTTGGGTCGAAACCCTTTTTAGCGTATTCCATACGCATTAAAGGAAAAGAAATTTAAATCTAGTTCATTGTCATGCATGCAAGTCTAATGTAAACGAGCGCATATGTACCTGACCCCTGGTAAAATGGATAAGCCTATTTGGCGTGACGACGACGTTACCACACTGGATATTGCTGTTGAAATTTTTCATATATCGAGCATATGCAAGAAGAATAAATGACAAAGCTGTTGGGGTCTGCATGTTACAAACCCCTGATTTATACATAAGCCCACCTGCCATAATTTGCCAATCGAAAATGTTTTTTATTACAAGATTGAGGTTAGAAGTTAAGAATAAGTAAGTTCCTTATTTTGTGACTAACTTTTATTTTACTGTCAAAAAAAGTAATTAACTTGAATAGGAAAAAATGTAGTTACCTGGAGAGTACCTCACATTGTTGGTGGGTGACTCGGGCAATACATTGCATACAAACGTATTGGCATAGGAGAGGAATGGAGTGCTGCCTTCTAAGCTGTTGTTTACCACATACTGAAAAAACAATAATACGAAGAAAACATGAGGAAACTTTCATATATGTATGTATATTATTTGAAGAATCGTAAAAAATTAAGTGTCTTGCATTGCATTGGTAGATTCCGTTTCTAAAAATGGCTTGTCACGATCCTTCATGGGGACGGGAAAGTGTGATTGTTCAAACGAAATTTGATTCTATTGGATCGATTGTTTATGAGAGATTACTTAATTTTTATCGTTATCGTGTGTGGTGAAATTGGCTGTAAATTGGTGCATACCTTGGAAACAAGCACATTAATACCAGCATGTTTTGAATCCCATCCAAATTCAGACATGCCGTATTCTATGTATGGTTTGAAGTTTTTAATGTTCTCTACAACATAATTCCAGTAGACAGGGCTTTTAGTAGCTTTGTGTAGCCAAGCTGCTGCCCATAGCAATTCATCCTGAACAAAAAATTACATTTTGTTATTCTCTAATTGACTTTTCTAATATTGCGCGCCGAACATGCATTCATTATTTAGTTTATTAATTGGAATATTACCCGATAGCCACTGTAATCGCAATAAAATGGGCACACCGAAGAGCCAATACTGTCATTATAAGATCCTCTATACTTGTCCGCAAATTCAAATACCTAATACATACCAAAGGAGATCTAATGTTTATAAACATAACATGATACTACTATACATCAAATTGAAATGAATAGTATCTTAAAGATAAACCTCTTGTTTGGTTTAGTTGAAAGAATAATGTTGTTTTGCCACAAGAATTTGGTTAGATGCAGTGACGAAGACATCGTGGCGAGGGGTGATTGGATGGGAAAGTTGACTATGTTTAAAACAGTCCAATAATGAAATGTCATGTAATATTATATCAATCATTATGTCAAACTTTCTGCTCATGTAGCATCATTGTAGTTAAAAATCATATTTTTAATAAATTGTGATACAAATTGATGAAATGAGTGGTTGAAAAATTGATAAAAGATGATGGATTCCATGAAAAGTAATTAAAAAATAATTTGAGAAAAAATGATTTTAAAAAAAAGTTCATACTATTCATCATCATGGATGTCAAACATCAGTCTATATTCAACTGTATGATATTAAATGATATATTTTTTTAAATGTAATATCATATAATTTATTTAACAGAAATGACGTTTGTGTAGTCATTAGTGGGCTGTAAAAATTACAGTCCACTAATGATTGTAAGTATAGCATGTTTCTTTATTTAATTGAACTTATCAACTATGGTCACTTAGACGGGTGATCAATACCACTTGTGTTAACAGCATGAGAAAACCAAATATGACAAAAAATTTGGATTATTTAGTTACCTTAGAGGCCCTTTGGAAAAGCGATTTAGCATATCCACGATCACCGAAATTTTTGAACACCATAGAAGCTGCCGCCAAAGCGGCGGCGATCTCAGCCGACACTTCCGATCCGGGTGCCTTTTCACTAACCGCGAAGGCGGTTCGAGGAGTATCCATATCTTCTGGCCTTTCCCAGCAATTATGATCGGCGTCGGCATCACCCACCTGAGCAAAAACAACGCCGGGAATGGCGGTGGCCTTGAGGAAGTAATCCGTGGACCACCTGATCGCCTCCAGTGCATGCGACAAATCTGGTCCCATTGATTTTCCATATTCTAATACACTCCAAGCCAGCATTGTTGTTGAAAATGCCATTGGGAAATTGAATTTAACATTGTCGCCGGCATCATAGTAGCCCCCTGTTAAATCCACCTATACAAGTAAAGGAATTCTTATAATTATAACACTCAAATCAATTATGCTACATGTATATCATTCTTTACACTCTATTACGTGCCAACAAATCATTGAACAGTTTGAAAAAATAAACAACTTTTCCTCCAATCATTTTTTAACAACACATCAAATGTTACACTTGAAGTGTTTGTACTCAAATGGCACAACCATTAATTTTTTTTTTCGTGTGTGTGGGTGAAATAGTGGTGGATGGAATAAATTTAGATTTACGTGTAAAATATTTTATTTCAATCATGTTATAAGTACAAGATTTTTCACAGATTTTGTGCAGGAAGACAACCGTCTTCTTGGCTTGTTGCCAAAATAGTTTTTGGCAACAACAAATCACAAAAAGACAACCATCTTTCTGTACTAAATATGTGAAAACCCTTGTATTTAAAGAATTATTCAAATTATGTGAAAACCCTTGTATTTAAAGAATTATCCATTTTATTTTGATTATATATAGATGAAAAAACTCTGAGAAGAGAAGAGTTTTATTTTAATGGTTGTCAAATAGGGGTACCCATTTTGCACAAATTTCTACCTATTTTAAAAATTGTTTTTAAATCAATGGTCCAAATTTTGACAACAATATTGTCAACCACAATTGTTGTTGACAATACATGTTTTAGGGTCTACAACTTTTTAATCACATGTCATCAATTTTTATTAAAATTTATAGCCTGTTCGAGTCTCATTTTTGCCCAAAATGCATTTTAGAATAATATTTTGATGGAGAATGGCTGAATGGGTGGTTAAAAATAAGGAAATTTTTTGGATTTGCATATAATATTATTTTATTAAAGAATGTATGGTTGAAAATAAAAGAAAAAATATATTTTGAAAATAATGGGAACCAAACAAGGACTTACTAAAAATCTAATTTTCATGTAAAATCAAGTCGTCATATCGTAAAATATGTGTGCATGGGGATGTTTTAGAGGGATATATACTTACGCCCTTATCCGAGCCATCATGTAAAGCGGAATCCTTTCTCCAAGTCATACGTTGTGTTGGAGGTAACTTCCCGGACCTTTGGCCTTCAAAAAATAGGATGCTCTTCGACAAAGCATCACCATAATCATGCAATCTTACCTTTGCAACCGCGGCTTCCATCACCATTGTCGTCACTGCCATCATAATCATACTAACTAATATTACTATCCTCATTTCCCCCCTTTTCTTTCTCATTTTCTTGTACACTATCTCACTTTCTTATTCTTGACATATATGATCCATCTATCTATACATATATACACATACATGCAAAGAGAAAAAGCGAAAATGGGTATGCATTTTTTAAGATAGCCACATTTTGATTAATTCAATAATGTCCTTTGCTTTGGGGAGAGAATAAATCTTCCTAGAAGTGCGTTTGGTCTTTAAGTAAAAGCCACACATTAATCCAATAGGGTTTACGCATTCATGCATGCACCAAACATGAACTTGAAAATTGATGATAAATCAATCATTTCATAATTCCTTACCAAAAATAATTAACTCTATACATTAACCTATTTACTTTTGCCCATATTATCAAATGAAATTTACTTTATTTTCTACATTATGCTAGTTACCATTTTTCTGAGAATATATTTTGTAATTTTTTTGGAGAATTGTGATCAAAAAGTAGATTTTTTTTCGAATTCACGAGCAAAATTATTTTATTGAAAAAAGTGTAGTTGAAATTGAGTTTCAGAAAAAATAAATTTTGAGGACAATTATGCTACAAGTATAGAATTTTTTGATAGAAAATCCTTACACACAACACACGGCGCTGCATCATCGGAAAATGAAAAAAAAAAAAAAAAAGTCCAATCACATTTGCCAAATCTGCATCGATATGCATTCTGTTAAATTTTTTCTGTACTTGAAGCTTTAGCTCAAATATAGCTAAACATGTCACTTTAAGAGGAATAAAAGAAACAAAGTTAAAATAATTGCATATACTTCATTGTCAACGGGGAGACGTTGACTTTTAGTTTTAGAGAGAATTTAATTTCATGAACCTTTAAGTACACTTATCCTTGCTCAAAGTTGGGCAAGTGGGAGTTCACAAGTTGCGTTTTATTGTATGGCAAGGAAATGCATAATAACTTTAAAATCACATTTTGATTAAATTCTTGGCGTGAAGATTGTCAAAATATATGTAAATTAATTATTATAATCAAACTTGTCGAGTAAATTATTCATATATATCAAATGATGACTTTTTGGTTCCTAAAATCACCCATTATACTACATTACTCAATTTGATGGTGCATCTTGTTGGAACTGGCTCGTTGATTCGGTGATAAATTAAAATTTTCTACTGAGGAGATGTTTGATTGTCTTTATTTTTCATTAAATAAAAAAAAAGACATTTGATTGACTTTATTTTTCATGAAAAAATATCATTTTTCTCCCGAGTTTCTACTTTTAAGATGTTTTATTGACACTTCTTTCATGAAAAAAGTTTTTTAAAAATTGATCACGTGATCATATTTTCCTAAAAAAAATGAGGAAAATATTTTCTTTAAGAAGGAGTATATTTTTATTTTATCAGACAATTCTCTCTCTCATCTACCCACAAATAAAAGACAGACAAGTATAACATTTATAGGTTGAAAATTAAACCAATCAAACATATTTAATTAATAATTTATATGCAAATAACTTCTAGACAATTCAATTACCTAAAATTTATTTTCTTTTCGTGCAAGATCCATGCTTACCATAAAAACTAAATCTAACTAGAAATTTAGTACACATAATTTTAATTTAATTTTATAAAGGATAGCGACCAAGCTGAGATTGGTGACATCCATGAAGTCGGGAGTAAATTTGAGAATGTTGATGTCTCGGTTTAGGTCAAACACTTGAGAAATCATCATCTTAGCTTGAATGAGCACTTGTGTCTTAGGGTTAGTTTGATATTTTCAGTTGGACTCCAATTATACTTCGCCCCTATTTAGGGCCATTATTTATCAAAAACAATGTTTTGAATTGGAATAGTGATTTTTTAAAGAATATATAGTTAAAAAGTAAAGAAACATTTTGAGTTTAAGTACAAATTATTATATTGTGTGAATACGATTGAAAATGAGTATGTAAAAAAAGAAGTGGTAATTACATCAAACCAGAATTGTTAAGATCCAATTTCAAAAATCAAATATAAAATTTGTTTATACAAAAATCAGATTTTAATTCAAATATTTAATATTATTAATACAATCAAAATTCATCACAAATCCTAATTACTCTCCCCCGCCGTTCCTTTCTCTAACTCTCTCAATACCCATCTCTTTATCTCCCACACGGAAGCAAGCATCCCCTCTCCACCTATTCCATCTTTTCTGTATCCCTTCACTGGTTATGTTGGACACTGTGGGGAGAGGATCGACGCTGATGTAAGAGAGTGGTGCCTACTGCAAGATCGATGCAACTACAAGATACCAATGTCGACGCTGCAAGGAAAGGATCGATACCGCTATTGACTGCAAGCTCTGTCGTGCCGCTGCAAGAGATCAATGCTGTCAAAAAGAGGAGCGCCGTCGCGACCTTTGCCTAGGAGGGTGGATGGCGATTTGACATTGCCACTTGTAGGAAGGTATGTAGTGATTTCAACATTGCACGACATGAAGGTGGGTTCTTTTGACATGGTCGGATTTTTTTGTGGTTTCCGGCGATTGCTCCGCTGCTATGGCAATGGTTTTGAGGTGATTTTTGTAAATGTTGGTTGGTGGTGATGGTGCTTACTGTGATGATGATATAGATTGGTGATGGTTGCAGGCAATAGTGGTAGTTGTGGTGGTGTCGCGGTAGTGTTGTTGGTGTTGTTGGTATTGTGGTGGTGGCGTAGCGGTGGTGGGGGTTGTGTTCGTGTTGTTGGTGCCGCAATGGTGGTTGTGGCGTGGCAGTGGTAGTGGCGGGGGAGATAGTGATGGCGATGACGATGACGATGGTTGGAACGAAGAGTATTTGTAATCAATTCTTTAGGTGTTGTGACCAATACATTGGTTAATTGTCACCAATAAATAATTTGTAACCTAAAAGAACTTGTGATTGTGACTAAATTTGGAATCGTGACTCAGAATTTGGTAAGTCGTAATCGATTAATTCGATAATTTATGACCAATAAATAATATGTGACCTAAAAATTTGAGTTGTAACTTATAAAATTTGAAATTTGTGATTGATAAATAAATTGTGACCTATAAATTTTTGATTTATGACCTATAATTTTTTTTTTTTATTTGTGATCAATTAATTCGATAATTTGTAACCAGATAGTATATAATTATGACCTTAATGTATTTAATAAATAAAATGTATAATTAATTAATTAATTATTTATTTCATAAATAAAATTCAATTAATATCTCATTTTTGAAATTGTAAACTTTATTTCTTAGTTTTAAAATAGATTATACTTAATATCTTAAATATGAAATTTTCCCAAAAAAGAATTTTAACTTAAAAGGTCATCAAACAGGGGCTACATGTTCGTCAAGTGGAATAGAAGCATAATAAGCAGGGATAGAGAGAGGCCCAGACCTGATAGATGATACAATCATGCTATAAGTACAAGTTTTTTAACAAAAAATTTTGACAAACAATACTTGGTGTGGCACCGTTGGAAGATTAAAAAAAAGGTCATTCAAGTTTGGTCACGTCAACGTCGATATCATCTGTTAAAATTTTTCTGTACATTGCTCCAAATTTTTTAGAGTTGATTAAGCACCTCTCTCTCTTAAGAATGTACACGATTCGAGTAGAAGGTCGTGGCTCGAGTAAAAAAAGGTTCGGGCTTTTTTGGCATGAATTAAATCAAGCCAAAGCTCAACCGAAAAATCAAGGTTCGACTTGGGCCTATGCCCAAAAATAAGGCTCGACTCAAGCCTCAGGTCAATTCCCTCGAGCCATGAGCCAAGCCAGCTTGAGCTTTTTCGGGCCGAGCCCTGAGATGTCCGAACCTCCGACAAATTTACATCCCTAATATCTCTCTCTATTGAATTGATCTAAATCGACTATGAAATTCAAAGAATATATTTTTAAATGTTTGTTTGACATGATTTCTACTTTATATTAATAATTACCTTTTTATTTTATTTGTTTCCGCTCCATTTAATAGATTCTTTACGAGTTCTGCTATCTGTTTAGGGCCACGTGACCATGGACAAACAAGAGGCGCATGTGGCGCCTCCCTATTGGTTGGGCATTATTTTTTTTCAAATATTTACTAATAATAAAATATTTATTTTCAAATTTACTTATGTGATAATATGCAAGCTTAGCCAAATTTTATTACAATATGGAAACTGGATTGAGTGAGTAAGAATTTGATTTAATCTCGAATGGATTAAAAACTGTAGTGAAATTATTATATCATATTAGTTTTTCCATAAATTGTAAGGAAAACTCCCCAATTTCATATATACTTATAAATGTAAATTTAAGAATAAACTTCAAATTTAAAACTAAGAAACATTGCTGCAAAAATTTATCATTCTGAGAGAATTTAATTCAAGAGAACATCGTACTCAAATTTCCAGTCTCACTACTGTCGCCATTTCCACATTTGCAAATGTCCCCAAAGTGCCTGCAACAAAACCTACATCTTCATCTTAATGCAAAACCCCAATAATCATATTCATCAAACACCATCAAAGCCTAAGGGCACAATCTCTCACCCCCAGCAATCTAAGCAACCCTCATAATCACTTCCCCGAGCCACACCAGACTACTTATCAGCACAACCACCAGTCTCGTGTTTTCTATGCTTTCTTGTTCCTAAACGCAGGGGCGTGGGCAGAGCGGTGCTGTAATAGTAGTAGGAGCAAATAATTAATCATTTCACAGAAGACGGTAAAAATTACAATGCGACGGATGTCCCAAATGCATGCTACACCACAATGAATCAAGCGAAGGTCATTATGAGCTGGAATTACTCGTTACAAAAGACTTCCAATAAAATAAAAGTTCAATCCAACTTATTACAGAATGATTTCTCAGCACAAAGAGATATGGACACAGGCATTACCAACACAAACCAAGATGAAAACAGGCCCTCTACAGATTTGAAGTTACAATCATTTCAGAAAATATTCGAGACCTATCCTGGTGCCACAAAAAAATTTCTGGCAGTAGAATCTTCCACTAGAGGGAAGAAACCCTTTATATAGGAAAAGAATAGACGTTTATATTCCCATGCATGATACAGACCACACTAGACGGAAGCATTTGATCCCTAATCCCATGTTTCACGGAAAAAAACATCAACCGGCAAGTAATTTACGACAATCATCTTTATGATTATTGATTAATTATTATGTGTAATAGAATGCATTACACCTGCATACCTCAACTAATTACAGTCGAGGCATGGAAACAAATCAGGTGAGAAAAGTTTACCCATCTGGTTTAGAGCTTCACATGTTCCATATGGAAACAAATCAGGTGAGAAAAGTTTACCCATCTGGTTTAGAGCTTCACATGTTCAATAGGGAATCTACCTGAAATCTTATTCAGGTGCTCATCATTACCTTGCCAAAAGAGCAGCAATTACAAGAAAGTGTTCTCATTGCTTAATCAGATTTACCTAAGAGAATAGATACCCATTTTGCTCGGGAGCATCTGAACAAGTCAAAAGAAAAAACGAAATTGGTAACGGTGAGGTAAGTTATTCTGCAGGTGACAATAAATAGATTTGTTCCCTCACAGTTCGGAAAAACCTATATTCTCCATCAGCAGCAGTATCATGCATGAACATGTATCAAATCAGTTTCTTATGACTACTTAAGATAAGTTTGATCCCACATAGAAAATGATAAATTACAGGTTTAAGAAATATATACCAATTGTGATGCATATAACAATCAATCTAAACTTAAATAGAGTCACAACAATGAAGTTATACCTACCTCAACCTTTTCTCCTTACACATTATATTGAGGATAGGAGATGGTATAGTCCCAATAGAGCTGTGAGAATAAAGAACAATTTCATTCGCAACGATGACGGAACTTAAGACTCCAAAGCATACATACATGAAAATTTGATAGTTAGAAAAATGCCTACCTCTTTAGAATTCAGAGCTCAGACATCTATTTACATAATCCTCTAATATGGGCCAAAAGGGCTCCTGGACGGCCATCTGTTATTGTGGCTGAAAAGAGGTGACCTTCTGTCATGTTCTTAGTATCTCTCTCCTTCCTTCTCTTCTGTTCCTCGAACTGTTGTACTTCCAATTCGATCCTCTTCCATCTTCCTGCCTTTCTCTGCTATTCCTATCACGAGACCTTTCATGATCACGATTTCGTTCTCGATATTCCTCCCTCTCCCTGTCATAATCTCGATCGCAGTACCTGTCCCTATCAACTGACTCGATATTTCTACGCCTGTTTCCATATTCTCTTTCCCTTGGCTTCCTTTGCTCTTCAGCTTCTCTCTCCCTAGACAATCTTTCTTCTTCCCTTGCTTTCTCCTTAGCTGCCTGGTAATTGTATTCGATTCACGAGTCATGCAATGAATAATCATTATAATAAATCACGATACTGATGGAACATTCATGTGATGATTTACTCTTTCCTAGTATATAAATTGGCATAATATGCTTTTTGTTGTAATCCAATGTACCTTGTATTCTGTTAGAAAGTCCCGTATCGTTCCATAACCCACATGCTGCTTGCCAGTAGCATGAGACTGAGTTCTCTCCGCAGCATCATTTTCTATTAGGAAGGAACCACAAATTTCACATAAAGCCATTTTTTTCTCTTGGGCCATCATCAACATTTTATCCTGCTGTGGTTGCTGAGTCAAGGCTATCTTCTCAGCATTAAGCATTTCCACCTGAAAGAAACCAATAAAACCATGATTCTACAATTTGTCAAATAAAAGTTCTGCAGTTCATAGAATCAGATTGTAGACATATAGGCAGGCTATAGAAGCACCTTTCTCATGAGTGCCTCAGCTTCATCAACCTTCCCCGCTTCACCAAGGGACTCGACTTGTTCCAGCAGGTTTTTTATCTCATCTTCAAGCACAGAAAGCTGCTCAGATTTTTCAGCTGAGATTGGAGGGGGAGAGGGAGCTTCAACCTCTTGAGCAAGACGTTCCCGGCCACGTCTAACTTTTCTATCTAAATCTCCAACCTGAATTAAACCGTCAAGTATGATCAAACACTACAAATCAGGTATAATATCAATCCAAAACTTTGAAATTCAAAATTGCAGAAGACAAAAGCTTACCAACTTCTCGCAGTAGTGAGCCAGTTCTGCTTCAAACTTTGGAACATGTGAATCATGTCTGGGGGACTTCTCAAAACTAAAGAGAAACTCAACAAACTTTGATCATTAATGTGAAACAAGCTCTCATATAAATGACACTCAGTGAGTTTAGATACTAAAATGGAGAATAGATATGATTCATTTTTAGGGCCCACAATAAAACGTTTCAGTGTCCAAATATTCATCAAATAACTAAGTCGCTAACAGTGTTTGAAGGGGGACATATTTACTGAAGTTCTAACACAATGTATTTACATAGTAGTATAACAGTGAATACACGGGGAAAAGCGGCATAAGAGTTGTCATTATACTGCAAATATGAAGGCTTCAAATATCTTAACAAGTAGGGAAACAAGTGAATTTTCACTATGGGAGAATGCTTAAAAATCTTATTTTATACACCAAAAAAAAAAAAAAATAATAATAAAATAATAAAAAAACCTAAAAATCATACCTATCACTGTTATCATAATTTTCAAAAGTCAATGGGCTCATTGTTTGACAGGCCTCCTCCATCATTGAATGGACAGATCGAAACATATAATATGAAGGAAATGCAAGAGTTATTCAAATAAATATTGGTTACCATGTCTCCCTCACATGCACTGTTCAATATTTTAAAAGCCACCATGATTCAACAGTGAACGATCATACAAATCGAGGATGATGAATAAGTTAAAAACAAGCTTCCTTGAAATAAGCCCAGAATAATCCTTGATTTTGAAAAATAAATGGTGACAGGAAAATCCAAAATTATAATACCTTTCCTTCAACTTCAGATCATGAACTTTTGGACACACCCCTGACATAGAGAAACACACATAAAACCCGAGTTAGGTGAAAGAAAGTTAACCTTTTTTTTATAACAGTAGATATTCGAGTCAGCTTGCGCGCACTTCGATTAATCTCACCGGACCCTGAAGTTTACGGCCGGATACTCATCTCAATGGCCCTGAGGGACTCGAATTTGTGACCATTGAGGAGCAAACTCAATGTCTAACCAATCGAGCAACCCCTCAAGGTTCGGTAAAAGAAAGTTAACTTAAGAATGAAAAGAATTGGCTTCATTGATAAAATGACAACAAAAGGATTTCCTTGTTCAAAATTCTCACTTCTAATGAATTGCATCCAAGATTCAAGGATCAACTAAATAACTTGAGTCTATTTGTTACTTTCCCATTGTTTAATAAAGCAATTTGAGGTTTATGCCTTGAATCCTGTCTCACATGAGCCTTCCATAAAAAAATCTCGAAAATTCGCACCTTAAATGCCATTTGTGAGACTTACGCCTCAAGTCGACCAAGGTGTTTGCGAATTTTTCTTGCATTTTCCAGACATATAACTATTTACCTTAATTTTTTGGACTATTTCTTTATAACTTAAAATGTTTTACAGATTCTTTATTGCTTTGTTCATGTCTACACTGAAGGGCAAGTGGAAGGATAATACATCATTGCATATGCAGGAATGAGGATGCTAACAAAGAATGAGAAGATCTTTATAGTGACAGCGATGCTAATGTAATGATTCTTTTAAGCATTTCTTTGCCCATTACTATAAAACATTATATCATCGTTGTAATTCAATTTTTTTTTCTTTTAAAATAGCTTGTAAAGATAATAAAATCAATCAAAACATCACCTAGATCACTCCGAGTGTTGACGAACAAATCATGGGGGCAGAATCGAACCACATAAAACCTGCAAACTTCCTTATCATCCCATCTGATTTCCCGGTATCCTTTTTTCTCTTCTTCGGTCAAATTCCGTGCTACGTCATGAACGATAAAAACATAAATGATAATGGAAAAGGCATCCGATTTGATAATGTACCAGGATTTAAAAAAAAAAAAAATAGGTGATGAAATTAACAGATTTCTTCTCTTTCTTTTTTCTTTTTTTTTTTCAAAACAAATGTGGTTGCCCACTAAAAAAATAAAATAATAATAATAAAAAATAAAAAAAACAAAAAAGTTCCGATGAAATATACAATTAAGACCGAGTTTTCCTAATTTAAAATTCAGAGTTTTTAATGGTAAAATTTTCAATTACTGGTCAGATTCACTTCAGCAATTCCAGAATTCTAATGCTTTCGTTGATGCGCCCAAAACTCCGCTTTAGGGTATTTAAAAGTAAAACGAGACAAAATGTATTGCTCAAAATTCAAAAATAATAATAAAACATGTGAACTTTTGGAAGAAAGAAGGCCATTAATAGAGAATATAGAAATTAGGTTTTAGGGAATTGCAATTTACCTGCGCCCATGAGTTCATCAAGCAAAGCCCTCTGTGCATCCATTCTTGATAAATTGCAGAGGCTGAAACTTGAAATAAGAATATTTATTTGAATAATTTACAAATAACTGAAATGAGAAACCCTAAACTAAACTTTATGAGGGTGGATTGATTGCGTTACGTTTACTAGCGCCACGGAAGGGATCAGTTGTTTCTTATATATCCAAACCTAATTTTCCAATTTTAATCGGAATCTTATTAGTTTAAAACGAAATGAAATAATTTTACAAATTAGATAAATATAATATTATCATGTTCATCTATTTGTCAATTAGTTAAAATTGTACTATTCAATATTTATGTTGATGACAAAACGCAATATTGCACGTATAGCGAAATGTAGTTGACTTGCTCATATCTGGCCTTGTCAACCAGCCTGTGATCGTGTATTGTTATCTAGGCCATGCAAGTACTTGCATGGATTCTGATCGATTGGAGAGCATGGCACTAGTTGTGACATGAGAAGACGTATGTTATCTTATCAATATCGTTGGTTAGTGGATTCAAACGGTGTTCAGTGGCCACTTGGAATAAGTCGTCTTTAATGTAATTACTCCTTTTACCAACATATGCGGATGGATAATATTTGGTCCAACCTATTGAGTTTTAAAACATGGGTTGTTCCAAATAAGGCATACTAAGTTCGAAGTAATTGATCATCGAGTAACGAATAGTCCGAATTGGATAGATGCATGGTCCCAATGTTTGGGTTGTTTTGACATGTAGTTGATAGTGGGTCATTATGCTACCTCAAAGGTTTCCAGATCAGTTTCTCTTTGCTTGCTAACCTTGGTCACAACAATTGTCCCCCCAAGGCATGAGGTGTGTAGCAGAGCTTGATTGAGTCTTTAATCTTGTTGTAAGTGGATATTCATGTTCACCATATGGTCTTGCTCCTCGATATGTTGAAAATGACAGTTGACACACAATAGGTTTTGTTACATGTACCTATAGGGACTCTCTGATCGTCGTGTTAGATTTCACCTACAATGGAAATTATGCAATACGCTGTTTGAAAGATGTCATGCATGCAAGTCACTTTTTACCTTCGATTTGAGAAACCATTCAACTTCTCCATGGGCATTATTTTTGTCCATATTTTGTTCTAACATCATATGAATCTTATGTTTTAAAGAATTTTTTGCTATGCATTCAATCGTTGAGATTCTTGATTTGGCTTTAAATACTTTGTCAAACACAATTATGCAATTTATAACTTGGCTTATTGAATATAAAAAAATTAAGGAGATTCTGTTCTTATTCAATTCTTAATCTAGAAATGAGAACTGAATCAAATTCGCCCATTCTCAATTCTAGTATACATTCAGATATTTAACCTAAAACAACTTTGGTTTGGATTCAAGAGTTTTGTTCGGTCCTAGCACAATAAGAGTCTTAAGGACTAGTTTCTTACCCATGTGTTCAGTCGCCCTTGCAAACAACCACCTTCAATATAATGATTATTTCTTTGGTGGCATATGTGGAGGGGACACATTTGGTACGACCTATTAAGATTTTAGCACCTGTTTGATCTTCATTATTATTTCATTAAAATGAAAAATATGACCATTATCCATTACATCAACATTTAAATTCAAATTTTCTATCTTTTATGTGAGCTTCAATAACGACTATATTTTTCATTCTCATTCTACAATAATTTGACTTAAACACAAACGTGATTCAATGGTCTGTGCATTCCTTGTTAACATTAAAAATAATGCTCTCTCATGTGGATGAAATCAAACAAGTGAATTGATGAAGTGTTTTTAAAATTAAAGGTCATGATTGCTGCCACCTCTTTAACAATTGAGATTGGGTCACGATGCAGCCAGGGCCTCCAGGTCAGCTGTCATTGCTCTGCTGTCCTTGGCCACAACTTGGAAAAGATTTAAGAGCCAAATGCTTGATTTGGGTTATGAAAAAATTGAAGAAAAGGAAATTTTAAGGTGGACTGGTCAACTCTTAGCTTATTATACTATGTGCATAGGAAATCTTGAACTCAACTATCTTATATCTCAATTTTCTCCATTATAATGGAGTTTAGATTAATCTAATAACGCCAATATACATAATAGTGATGTGAGTAGTTTGACAAATATTTAATAATTTTAATAAATATAAAACAATCTGATTACACACTAAAACTAACTGTTGACTATACCAGAAACGTGAGTTGGTAAAAATAAAAATTAAAAATGTGAAGTTCAGTGGTGACAGTTGGGTCATCCAATAAAGAAAGAATGCAGTGAAGAACAATCCAATCTCAATCAGACAACTAAAATCCGACTAAGATAGAGACTCCTTTGTGCTTTAGGAGTCAACCTTTGTCTACTCCAAATCCTCCGAGGACCATTCTAAGACCTCAATCTCTTCCTTATATATTCAAGTAGAGACACATTATGCAATTTCTTTATACGAAATCTTCTCAAAACAAAGAAAAGAAACAACTTCCAGCAACAATGGACTCAACAGGGGAAAAGCATTGTCATTACAACAAAAAGATATTTGATTCATCATCATCATCAACTCTTTGTGAGAGGGGACACATTTGGTACGACCTATTAAGATTTTAGCACCTGTTTGATCTTCATTATTATCTCATTAAAATGAAAAATATGATCGTTATCCATCACATCAACATTTAAATTCAAATTTTCTATCTCTTATGTGAGCCTCAATAACGATTATATTTTTCATTATCATTCTACAATAATTTGGCTTAAACACAAACGTGATTCAATGATCTGTGTATTGACTTTGTAATAAATCGTCATTTAAGTATTTAGTAGTCCAAATCCCACATGCTCATGACTCTGCTCTTCGGGCTTATTTTAACAATAATGTTAGACGCGCATTCCTTGTTAACATTAAAAATGATACTCTCTTAAGTGGATAAAATCTAACCAGTGAATTGATGAACTACGTTTAAAATTAAAGGTAATGATTGCTGCCACCTCATTAACAGTTGAGATTGGGTCATGATGCTGCCAGGGCATCCAGGTCAGCTCTCATTGCTCTGCTGTCCTTGGCCACAACTTAGAAAAGATTAAAGAGCCAAATGCTTGATTTGGGTTATGAAAAAATTGAAAAAAACGAAATTTTAAAGTGGACTGGTCAATTCTTAGCTTATTATACTATGTGCATAGGAAATCTTGAACTCAACTATCTTTTATCTCAATTTTCTCCATTATAATGGAGTTTATATTAATCTAATAACGCCAATATACATAGTAATGATTTTAGTATTTTGACAAATATTTAATATTTTTAATAAATATAAAACAATCTGATTACACACTAAAACTAACTGTTGACTATACCAAAAACGTGAGTTGGTAAAAATAAAAATAAAAAATGTGAAGTTCAGTGGTGACAGTTGGGTCATCCAATAAAGAAAGAATGTAGTGAAGAACAATCCAATCTCAATCAGACAACTAAAATCCGACTAAGATAGAGACTCCTTTGTGCTTTAGGAGTCAACCTTTGTCTACTCCAAATCCTCCCAGGACCATTCTAAGACCTCAATCTCTTCCTTATATATTCAAGTAGAGACACATTATGCAATTTCTTTATACGAAATCTTCTCAAAACAAAGAAAAGAAACAACTTCCAGCAACAATGGATTCAAGAGAGGAAAAGCATTGTCATTACAACAAAAAGATATTTGATTCATCATCATCATCATCAACTCTTTGTGAACGAAATCTTCTCAAAACAAAGAAAAGAAACAACTTCCAGCAACAATGGATTCAAGAGAGGAAAAGCATTGTCATTACAACAAAAAGATATTTGATTCACCATCATCATCATCAACTCTTTGTGTTTCATACAATCCAAGATACTGCTACTACGACTATGATTCCACAAACATGGAGGAAATCATGATTTGCACAGACGATATGACAGGCTTTCAGACAAAGAGAGAACCTAAGAAGACGTGGTGGCTAGGGTTCGTGGAGTGCTTCGAATTTCTGAAATCTTTAGTTAGCTAATGATTTCAATTTCACAAAGTTTCTTCTCTCTCTCTCTCTCTCTTTTAATACAGTAATATAAGGGAGCAAAAGAATGGTATGTAAATGTTTGTCAATGTCTTTAACTCAATATATTCATGTTTCCTTAGAAAGAGTATATCCATAGATGTGGAATCAGGCAACAAATAACAAAGAGTCAAATCATGGAATCACATTACATTACATAGGATTCAACCTAGAACATTGGGTTTTGGAGAGCAATGTGAAATTAGAAATAAATTAAAAGTGAAGCCCACATTGTAAAATCATGCAAGAAATAACAGGAACCAAATTCCAGTAATCACATTACTTAGAATTCACCCTAGGACACCGTGTTTTGGAGAGCCATGAGAAATTAGAAAGAAATAACAAGTGAAACCACATTATGTATAATTCAACATACATCGGGTTTAGGAGATTCACTGTGTGAAATCAGGCAAGAAATAACAAGTGAAACCCACATTGTGAAATCATGCAAGAAATAACAAGAATGGATGTATCACGGACTCATGCAATGTAGAATTCAATCTATAGGACATCAAGCTTTGGAAACTCAGTTCCAACACTTTCTCACAGTGAAGGAGTCCTGTCTTTATGCTTTTCTCTTTATTTTGCCCAACCTAAGAAAATACAGTGAGTCAACACTCCATGTGCATATCAATTTTAGAGTTACAAGACACATAAACAGCAAAAACTAACACATGAAGATATTTTTGTAAGGACTAAGAGCAGGGAAGTAGTTTTTTCACACATACTATACATGGCATACCATTCAAAGTTATAAATCAAGATGCAAATTTGCATTATAAAAAATAGGCCAACCTGATATCAAACTAACATGACAAAATCAGAGATTTTACAGAACCCAGTTTGGACACACAATTATATTATAAAAGCGGTAAAGTTGCAAAGAAGAATTAAGAAAGAAGATGACCTCAAAGAGTGCACAAAGGGTAGTCCACCCAAATGTGGAAACGTGATTATGCTATGC